TAGGTACTGTACTTAAAGCCCTCCAATAGGTACTGTACTTAAAGCCCTCCAATAGGTACTGTACTTAAAGTCCTCCAATAGGTACTGTACTTAAAGCCCTCCAATAGGTACTGTACTTAAAGCCCTCCAATAGGTACTGTACTTAAAGCCCTCCAATAGGTACTGTACTTAAAGCCCTCCAATAGGTACTGTACTTAAAGTCCTCCAATAGGTACTGTACTTAAAGCCCTCCAATAGGTACTGTACTTAAAGCCCTCCAATAGGTACTGTACTTAAAGTCCTCCAATAGGTACTGTACTTAAAGCCCTCCAATAGGTATTGTACTTAAAACCCACCAATACATGCTGTACTTAAAGCCCACCAATCCATAATCAAGACAACAATCCACTGGTTATTGAGACAGTCCACTAATAGGTACTTAATTTAAAAGACTACTATTGCTAAACTACGAACGTCATACACGAGAATCTAGAAAAATTGTACTTGACTTTATTTAAGTGTCCATCAAATGATAGTTGACTTAAAAGCCCATCAAATTAAGCTCGACTACCAGTATTGAAACCAGTGATCACCACTAACACATATCAAGTGTCTAACGATATCAATGACGGTCTGGATGTTTAGACTCCAGGTTATCATCCAGACTTGGATACTCTATAGTCTGTGACCTGGATTCATTTGTTTGTTTGATAGCAAAAGTGATAAAATAATACAATACAAATTGTTAGCTATTTTGGAATGCGAATAGATTATTTTTGGTCGAATTGCCAGTGTCTCTTGTACGCTTTTTGTACACTTTTTGTACACTTTTTGTACACATTTTGTACACCTTTGTACACTTTTTGTACACTTTGTGCAATGGTTAATTTTAATTATGTTATCCAACACGCGTAAATTATATATATATATATATATATATATATATATATATATATATATATATATATATATATATATATATATATATATATGTGTGTGTGTGTGTGTGTGTGTGTGTGTAGTATGCTTGCATGCGTGCGTGCGTGCGTACGTGTGGGTGACTGCTTGTGTGCGGGCCAAATTGTGTGCGTATATATGTGTGTGCGTGTGTGCGTGCGTGCATGTGGACTACAGTTTAGGTTATTTCTATCATGCTTGGGCGTACACCGGATATGTTCAACTTAAAAAATTACACACTATGACGCAAAGAACATCTTCAAAACGGTCAAAACATTAGAGAATCAATGAAATAGGTTAATGTGGAGAATTCCGTGTCTGTTGAGGTAATTTCCGACAGTGTTTTTATGGGCGTGGTTATAGGGTGTGTTCCGGGATTTTTATACGGATGTAAAAGAAACAAAGTTTAAGTTCTGTGTTTTGATTTAACAATAGAACAAAGTTCAATATGAACTTTAAATTAGAATACAGGCATAGTCTCTACTTTTTGCATTAAAATTTTTATTCGCTTATGTTCTAATTAATTATTGGGGCATTTTTTACTTCAATACAGCGGCGTAGCTACCGTAAAGCTAGTGGAAGCAAGGCATAGCGGCTCATGGAACACTTGGGAATTTTTCCCTCTTTAAATATATTAAAACTTTTACATTGAAATTTCAATATTTGTGTTATTTAACTAATTTAAACAAGAAAATGCAAATCCGGTTATGTTTCTACTGCAGACAAAATTAAAACTTCCCAGTCATTTGTTAATTCATAGCATACAGGCAGTAGCATTCAGTGCGGCGGTGGAGGGGGGGGGGGGTGGGGGGTGAAATGGAGTCGAAAAGGGCTCTTCCTTATGAATTAAACTGCAAGCGTTGTTGATTGCTGGGAATGCCATTGAGAGAGTCAGACATTTAGTCAAACCAAAGCAAAAAAAGACCACAAAGAGGACTGCTTTACATATTTTTTTTCTCCAATGGTAGTGGGTCTTAAAATTTAATTGGGGGGGGGGGGGAGGGCGAGATGGGATACGATGACATTGGTTGAAGTATAAATAATTTTGAAAAAAATTCCTCTACATTGCCCAAAAGATGAAGAGGGTGGGGGGCTTGTAGTCGTGTTTGGGGGGGGGGGGGGGGGAAGCGATGCCTGACAGAAACACTGCTTATGAACATGAAATATCTTCTAAGCTAAAAATGTCAGTATTTTATTACTTAAATGGGGAAACTGTGACCTGTTTTGTCTTTAGTCCGGATGTGACGTAACAAGCCCTTCTCTAGTGTGTCGGTGAGTAGATGTTATACACGCTACTCAGCTATTTCTGTAAGAGGGTCTCAAGCTTGTGTGTGTGTTTGTGCGCGTGCGATATATGTGTATATTAAAGCGTGTTTGTGTTTGTGAGTGTGCGCGTGTGTGTGTGTGTGTGTATTTGTGTATGTATGTGTATGTATATTATGTATGTTCGTGTGCACGTGGTTAAAATTACTTCCTCCTTTTGTTACAACAGACTACATATTTGTTTTTGACTTTCTTGTTTAATTTAACTAACTTAACAATGTATAAACTAGGGCTAAAAATGTATAAAGTAGAATAGTTAAGAAATAAGCGTTATATATATCATTAGTAACATACATCTAATTAATCTTTTTGGCTAGTTTCAAGGTAAAGGTTTAGCTTTAGGGTTAATTTTAAAGCAGGGATACGGTAAAGATTAAGAAGATAATTTTTTGAGTTATATATATATATATATATATATATATATATATATATATATATATATATATATATATATATATAAATATATATATATATATATATATGTATATATATATATATGTGTGTGAGTGTGTGTGTATGTGTGTGTGTCAGTGTTTCTTCCAGACTTTTTTCTCCGGGGGGGGGGGCACTTGAAATTTTCGGGGGGGGCGGTAAACTTTCTTCGGGGGGGGGGGGCGGACACTGTTAAAAGTATATATTTTCTATATAAATTATATAAATTTCATTTCGTTCGGGGGGGGGCGGTAAAAAATTTTCGGGGGGGGGGGGGGGCTTCGCCCCCCCGAAGAGATGCCTGGAAGAAACTCTGGTGTGTGTGTGTTAGTTGACTCATGTGGAGTCCGTAGTAGCAAAGGGCAGCAACTACACTTCTATAATTAAAAAAACTAGGATTTGGGTAGCTAAATTCACTGTTAGGGAAAGGATCAAAATTAAACCAGTCCTATTTACTGCACTGCTGTAAATTTCGTATAAAAAAGCGATGATGTCCACGTGGATTATTGTTGTTGTGGAAATTGAAATTTTAGTGATAACAGTAGGCCTATACACTACCACTTACAGCTCTTATCTGATTGTCAAATGTTCGGGTTATTAGGTCAAAGTTCGAAGGTCGTCTTGTTAACCCTGTACGTGTGAATGCAACTAAACCTTCACATGTGACTTCTGCTACATTCTTCTGCCGAAATTTTATCTGAATTCACTTGTATGTATGGGAGATATGTAAACAATGGGTTCGTCTTTTACTTGATCTGACAGTTGTGTTTCATTCAGTTACTGAAGGGAATAATCCATTAAAAGAATAATCACCTTGTAAGTAATTTATCCAGTTTATCCATGTTTAGAGATTATAACAATTCAATGTGAAAATCATATGTTAATGTGCTGAATTAATAGAAATAGAAACTATGGTATTCTTCTGTATATATATTTAATTTCTTGATTTTAACCGTAGAATTACACACACATATCCGATCGATTTATAAAGTCAGATATCTGTATAAAACAGGGGTCTCCAAACTACGGCCCGCGGGCCAGATGCGGCCCGCGAGCTCCTCTCATCCGGCCCCGGAAAAAAATGTTTGTAGGAGGTGGATGAGAAAAAATTCAAAACAAACTGAAAATGTAGCATTGGGTGCAAATACCGTTGAAGTAAATGTGGCCAATTGCCCAGCAAATGACCCCCTTTAAGACAAGGTCAAATAAGGGCGGGTGAGTTTTATAAGTAATAGCTCAACTTTCCTAATATTAAAACTTTGAGGGGGGGGGGGGATTCCACCACCCGGAGGATATGCCTGGAAAAAACTCTGGCCCCCGAACATGCGGCCCTCGGGTTGAAAAGTTTGGAGACCCCTGGTATAAAAGATTGAATATATTAGTCTTTGAGAAATTGACACTATGGGCGGATGACGATTAGGTTGATCAGCCTTAGGGAAAGTATTGTTCGAGCAATCGTTATAAACCCTTTTAAAATATTGGCCTACATTAATTGTGTAAAATATCACCAATACTTTTGTTTGTAATTGAGCTTTACATTTTTTTTAATTTTGAATAATTTTTTTTAGGTTGACTATGAAGGCTTACAAGAGAAGGAAATTGTCAAAATTCATAAACAAATTTTAGACATTTTACAACAAGAAACGTCAAATATCAGGAACAAAAAAAACGAATTTGATTTGAGAAGATACAATGGTAGTATCGGAAACTTCAGTGTTTAATATGGAAGCCTTCCTGCTATTCAACAACTACCATGGACATTAACATCGATGCCTTAGAGATATCATCGACTAACACATCGTCATATTGTAACGAGCAGAGGATATTTTCACAGGCAGCATTAAGGGCATTTGAATATCATATCATCAGCTATCGCATTGATGTCAGTAGATTTAAACATTCTGGAGACAACTTATCATCGAATAGCATCTCATCAGCTAACACACTGGTGTCTGTAAATTCCTAAATTCTGGAGACAATGAATCAAACTATTTTACCTGCATAAACGCGATGTGAATACTGTAGCCCCTAGGAGTATCCGGCAATCGACTATATAAACTCAATTCTATTTTAAAAGATGAATTTCTATTCAAATACGAATACATTCAACTCTTTTTACTTCCGATCTAGATTTTAACATCACCAATTCTTCGCCTTTTCCATCAGAACTAGTACATGACAAATTAAATTAAAGTATAATTATAAGGAACGGATTTATTTAAAAACGATTTCGCAGGTTGCTGGGATTATTAGTAAATTGTTACTAAAATCTGATTTCATTAACCAATAAATCATAATCATCATCGGTGACTGCCAATCGCCTTTGACTTTAACATCTGATATCTGATCGCTCTAAGACACACTGATCACAACAACTGCAGAGACTTTCTGCTTCAGCACATTCCCCCACAAGAACAAACCTACTTCCCACAGTGATGGATCCAAAGCCTGAGGAACGGGGGAGGATCCTGGAGGATCTCCAAAACGACGTGACGCTTCAAATGATCCCGGCAATGACGTACCTTGTGCTACTAGGCGTCATAGGATTAATCGGGAATTCCCTTGTTCTATTTGTGTACTCCAGGAAGTTCCGGAGAAATCCGACTCGAATATTTATACTGGCGATTGCTAGTTTCGATATAGTCACGAATACTGTCGTCATTCCAGGTAAGTCACGTGTTGTTGGGTAACTCAATATATCCAATCGGCTACATGTTCTACATCAACGTTACTTTATTCGATAATTAATTCTTCTCTAAAAATCATTAACGTTAAGCATTACTTTAACAAACGTATTCCTTGCCTAGTGTATGGCTAATTATTAAATTAGGGCGATTGCAGAATTTTTTCCAGGCATCTCTTTTGGGGCATTGGGAGGGCTGAGTCCTCCCCCCCCCCCCCCGAAAAATGTCTACCCCTCCCCCAAACGAAAGAAAATGTATATAGTATATATACGTTTACCAGTGTCCGCCCCCCCCCCCCCCCCGGGAATTCTAGTCATCCCCTCCCAAAATTTCAAGTGTCCCCTCCCGTCCTCCTCCCCCCCCCCCCCAAAAAAAAAACAGTCTGGAAGAGTGTAAAGATGTAATTCACAATGTGTGACCCCTTAACTAGAAATTTTCTCATAAAAAACAATAATCATGAAAGCTCATTCTTTTATGATATTTAACGTTCTTATACCATTTTAAGCAATAACTTTTATTCGTAGTCATATTGCTAATTACACTTCATAATAGACAGGTGGGCTGATTATCTCAGAAACATCAACATGAGGAGTATTGAGTGTACATTTAAAAAAATAAATATAGTTCGGGATCGGAATCTATACAATTCATAAAAACTGTCCATTTTAAAACCCATTGAAACATAGAAAAGTAACACGTACAAGTAGGTAGGTCCACTCAGTGGCGTAGCGAGGTCGGGTGTCACCCGGTGCGGCACTTAATGGTGTCACCCCCCAGAGGCGTAGCGACCCTTCCCGGGGACAATCTTTCAAATGTTCGATTTGCACCCCCCTCAAACTTTCGATTTGCAATCCCCACCTCAAGTTTTTCTCTGTATATTTTTGCTATATTTTTGCACCTAAATGGTGTCACTCGGTGCGGTCCGCACCCCCACCCCCGCCCCCCCCCCCTCGCTACGCCTCCGGGCCTACTCCTATAATCAGGTAGGTCAACACTTTAAGACAGGAGGATCAACCCTTAAAGACATGGAGCTCTTGGACATAATTATATCACTTATTTCATATCACCTAACTTATTAATAATTGATATTTTAGAATGTGGGGTTTTTGGCAGGGAGGTGAATAATATGTTACATAGGTTTGATTTGTTACGTCCACTATATATATGTTTGTCCTTCGGCATGGAATACCTATGGCATGTTACATTAGTTAAATTAAATTTCAAGTTGATACATGTTCATCATATAATGTGTTCAAATGTCTAGTTGTTAAATTTTCATTTTATAATGTGCTCAAATTTTGAGTTGTTTTATGTTCATCATATAATGTGTTTACATTTCAAGTTGTTACATATTCGTTGTATAATGTGTTTAACTTTCGAGTAGTTACAAGTTCATTATATAATGTGTTTAAATTTTAAGCTGTTACATGTTCATTATATAATGTGTTTAAATATAAAAATTGTGACATATTTGTTATATAATGTGTTCAAATTTCGAGTTGTTACATGTTCATTATATAATGTGTTTAAATTAAATTTCAATTTGTTACATGTTCATTATATAATGTGTTTATCTTTCAACAGGGGAGATTTATGACATGTTCCACATTTACGATTTCAACTTTCCTTACCTGTGTAAAGTTCGTCTGTTTTTCAACGCATTCACAACAATGGCTGCAGCTATGGTGCTAGTAGCTGTAGCAGTAGCCAGGTAATTGTCACATTTTGTTGCTTAATGTTATTTTTCAAAGTTTTGCGATTTTTGCCTAAAATTAATTTATATTTTATTTTTTTTATTATGAGGTGCAAGGTTGTTTAAACCACATTCACATACAGTCTGACATCCCAGAATTCAATATAAATGATTTAAAATGTATACACACACTTAAAAAAAAGTTAAGGATTTAGACTTGCAGAGAAGATGGCGTGGTCGGGTAGGTAGAGTTCGTTGTTGCTAAAACACCAGAGGTCCCGAGTTCGAACCCACAGATGAGGTTCAGTATCTTGGGACAGCAACCCATATCAAAAGTACAATATTAATCACCATGCGTCTACGGTAACGGTTTTTCTACAAAACATGAAAAACACAATTTCGTAGGAAAAAAAACTTTTGACAGTACTAAAAAAAGAATTTTAAAATATATTTTTTTTAAAAATCCATAGATAGTCTGAAATATTGATAATAAGCATCAATGTGATTTAAAGGGAATATTGTTGTTCGCACTGAGATTTCTAAGCTAATTATTTAAGTTACACCAATTAGTTTTTTAACTAAGGGAGACAACTTCAAGTTAAGTAGCTAAAAGTCCTTGAAATCTTAAAATAGCAGCAATGATACAAAAAGCAGTCACTTTTTTATTTTTTATTACATAACAATTTTAGCAAACATACATATGATCATTTTGTAACTTCATTTTTTTTAACATTGTCAAATTTAAATGAGACACTGGTCAATATAAAACCAAACGTTGTATAAACAGATAAACAGTATAAAATTTGGCATTTATTTTAACTTTTACTTTTTATTGGCTGTATCTATTTGACTTTGTTAAAAACCTTTAAATTGTAAAACCAAAATGTTCCACCCCCACCCACCTTCTCATTTGATCGACCGTTGCCAAGACCCCACCTTTCAGCCATTTTTCAACCAGTTCCCTTTTTCCCCTTCGCTTTAATTCAGGTTGTAAATTCCCCGTTTTGCATTGGCCTTTGTAAATGTTAGATGGCTTATGCAATTATGTATGAAGCTTATGTAAATTTTATGTAAATTGGTTCGCTGTAAATCCTTTACTAAAGACAAATTCACTCACACACATATTGATGTCATGTGTTTTAATTAAAAGTAAAAGTATTTAAATAATAATAATAATAATAATAATAATAATAATAATAATAATAATAATAATAATAATAATAATAATAATAGTAATAATAATAGTAATAATAGTAATAATAGTAATAATAATAATAATATAACTATTAATAATAATAATAATAATAATAATAATAATAATAATAATAATAATAATAATAATAATAATAATAATAATAATAATAATAATAATAATAATAATAATAATGATAATAATAATAATAATAGTAATAATAATAATAATTATTATTATTATTATAATAAATTGCTGTTATCATTTTCCCTTATAGCAAATAAGACGTTAACCCTATTAAACCCATGATCAGAAACAGAAACGGAAGTGGGAAAAGGGTTACTGTGATACTGATCTAACCTTTCGTGTTCACTAAATTTTCCATAGCTCTATTTATAAGCAATACTCTCCCAATGCAACCCACCGGAAAAAAACAACTGAAAACGACCTTATTTTTATTTCAGATTCGTTTTTCTTAAACCCCACCAACCCATCCCATCACACAACATTACATCGATATACCATTTACATATTCAGGATTAAAAAAGAGTGTAATAAGATGATAAGTATTATGTGTAAGTAAACAACTTTCAAGAAATATTACTATTGAATCATTTCTCATAAGACGATGATGAAAACTGCAATACTAAGGCGAACATGACTAGGCAAACTCACTCTGTTCATTACATATAAGTGGCATAATTTTTTTAGAAAAAACTTACAAAACACAAATTAAATAAGGAATCGTACAATAATACTATTCATAATATCAAAGAACTGTAGATTTTAGAAGAACCAGTTCTTATCGCAAAAATCTTATCCACAAACAACAGTGGGGAGTAAAACCACAGCTTATGCTTGCATCCCCCCCCCCCCCCCACCTCGATTGTTTAAACAAAAGAATAGAAACGTTGTGGGTCCAATGCTTGTCTAGCTAATCAATTTACTTTATTTTCATCGTGTGTGTAGGAGGAGGGGGGGGGGGCGACGATAAAACGTTGAGTTGTATTACGTTTGGAAAGTGTTGTTTTAATTAGCGGGACGGTGTGTTAGTGCATGTGACTGCTAACTCGACATTTTTTAGGATGGGACCCCCGGGTAGATGAGGCTCGTTCGATGGGTACTGCAAACCATCAATGGCGTAGCGAGTTCGGGTGTCACCCGGTGCGGCACTTAATGGTGTCACCCCCCCCCCCCCCCTGAGGCTTAGCGACACTTCCCGGGGACAAACTTTCAAATTTTCGATTTGCACCCCCCCTCAAGTTTTCGATTTGCAAACCCCCCCCCCCCTCAAACTTTCGATTTGCACCCCCCCCCCCTCAACTTTTTCTCCGTATATTTTGCTATTTTTTGCCTTGGTGTCAGCCCCCTAAATGATGTCACCCGGTGCGTTCCGCACCCCCCGCCCCCCCCCCCTCGCTACGCCCCTGCAAACCATCTAGGTGTGGAAATTCCTAATCAAACAACTGCTGCCTTGTAGATTGCTTTTAGGTAAACAAAGGTCATGGAAGGAAATCCAGAGTATAAAGCAGGCTTAAGCATGATTCTACGGCCCGTATGGCGCATAATACGTTAAAAAGTAATATTTGCGCTTTAAATTTTCAGGGTGGTGTAAAAAAATTTCCGGGGGACGAACACTGATAAAAGTATATATTTTCTATATAAACGCCTGAAAGAAACCCTGCCTTTAATATAAGCCTCAAGAAGAAAGAACAAAACGCTGGTATAATAAATCCAGAAACATTTTGTTTTGAGAAAAAACGAAGTACAACCAGGAAGTAAAAAAACACTTCTGTAGCATGAATGCTTGTTTTAGCTCTTGTAGTCACCCTAAAGTGAGTACCCACCAGAAATAGGTGAGTAGTATATTAGGTCCCTTTTGGGTATCATTTTTGGCGGAGGAGCGGAGGGTGAGGAACAATGACATATAGCAAAATACTCGGAGCAGGATGCGCAGCCTGCCGCAGCCTGGTACAATGATATATAGCAAAATACTCCCAGCCTGGCGCATCGGGAGGGTAAGGGTGGGTGAGCAGGATGCGCAGCCTGGTACAACGACATATAGTAAAATACTACGCCAACTGGGGTTGGCGGAGGAGTGAAGGGTGAGTCACCTTTTGGTGACCTTGTGACGTAATCATCGGCCTTGTGACGTCATCATTGACCTAGTTATGTAATTTTAATGCGTTTTTTAATGAGTTTTTTAAATTTTAATTAATTTTTGACCTAGTTACGTAATTTTAATGCGTTTTTAAGGAGTTTTTAAATTTTTAATTAATTTTTATTATCGAGTTACGTAATTTAATTACTTTGATTGTATTTTTATTTTGTTTAATTTGTTTGTTTACTTGTTGTTTAATTTAATTACTTTGTTTATATTGTGTAATTTTTTATTAACGAGTTACGTAACTTGATTATTTGTTTACTTTTTAATTATTTTTATTTTGTTTATTTTTAATTTTATTTTATTTTATAATTAGTTAAATTATTATTAACTAGTTACGTAATTTGATTTTAATTTTTTTAAATTTTTAAAATTTTTTTAAATTATTATTTTTAAATTTTATTTTTAATTGTTGTTTACTTGTTGTTTAATTTAATTACTTTGTATAATTTATTTGTTTGAAATTCATTTTAATTAGTTTGCTGTTAATTATTGGCGACAGATGTTACCAAGCGGGTGGTGGTGGTGGTGGTGGTGGTGGTGGTGGTGGTGGTAAATTTGCTTAAGATTATAAACTTCAAGTTTTAAAAATCAACAACGTTATGGACCATTCAGCAACACAACGAACGGTTACCGAAAATAGAACATCCATTTAACCACATCTGTTACTTATCGATCCGTGATCCTTTGTTGACACGCGCTGCGCTTTTAATGGGAATGTATTGATCGCACCCACGGAGCCATCGGGACAACGGGCGCGTTAATATTGATTCCACACACAGCCATCAAATGATGGTCCGCCTAATTAATTTGGTCATGCATCGTGGGTTTATGTCGACTACAAACATCCATTAGAGACACCTGTTACTCGCTAATGGCACCCGACACGTATCGATCCACATGCGATCCTTTGTTCTTGTCAACCACCGTACAAGGGCCAAGTTAATATTGATCGCACCTACTGACCATCAGTATGATGGTCCATCTATGTGTAATTTTTTATTAACGAGTTACGTAATTTGATTTTAATTTTTTAAATTTTTTAATTTTTTAATTTAATTTTATAATTAGTTTAATTATTATTAACGAGTTACGTAATTTGATTTTAATTTTTTAACTTTTTAAATTTTTTAAATTATTATTTTTAAATTTTATTTTTAATTGTTGTTTACTTGTTGTTTAATTTAATTACTTTGTATAATTTATTTGTTTGAAATTCATTTTAATTAGTTTGCTTTTAATTTCTTTGTTGTACGCCGTTTGAAATAAAAGACTAACACTAGCGTGTACTAGAAAGTGTCATTGTGTATAACATCCATTTAACCACAGCTGTTACTTATTAGCGACAGCTTGTACTTATCGATCCGCCCGTAATCCTCCCAGGCGCTCACCGTGGTTGCTTAATAGCGGGCTCACTGAAGCGATCACAACAGGTAATTAATCGAAGCCATTAAGTCCCTCTCCGCGTTAAGTGTGGCGACAGCTGGTGCTGTAATTAGTCACGGCTCTCGGCTTTTTTCATTAGACTACAGCTGTACATGAACTATGTTCACATATCGTACGCCCGGTCATTCTTTGATCAAATTAAAAAAATTTGTTTCCACATGTCATGCGAACCGTCCCTTGCTATGTATGAAAGATTAATGGTTGTAACTATTCGCTTATA